AGTTCTCTAATGGATAGATTTTGAAATAATCTATTACTTTTTGTTTGTTTCTCCCTTATAGCCTTTCTATCATGGTCTCCACGATTTGATGATATTGTATGATTGGCCAGAGATTTTGCTTAGATTGAAGTCATATCTAGATGAGACACTATTCAAAAGTTGAGTGAGAGAATTTTAACAAGATATGACCTTTTCTTAGTAAAAGAAAATGGAAAGAATTATACTTCAAAGATAGATATTTTTTATGGTTATGTATGATTTATTATTTTATCTTATGCTTACGGGTGATTTTAGGTGTTAATCGCCCATATATTATCAAAGTAATTCCCATGAAGATATTGGTTATTGACATACTCACAATTGTATAGCTTCTTTTTTAATTTCCCTAAAAAGTACTTGGGAATCCATCAAATATGTGTGTTTGCTGATATGGATTGTTTACTTATGAATATCGTGAATTTTTGTCTTTAAGTTTGTTTTATTTGTGTTTTATGGCAGGAAGAGAAGGGCGGGCGATTCCTAGATGTTTTTCTTTTTTTCTTTTTAGCAGTGCTTTACAGCAGCTGGTTAATGTGGCTACTTCAATCCATTTCGGCTTGATATTGGTCAGCCCCTACCTGATCTCGGGTTGCTTTTGGAGTAAATAATTATTGGACGCAAGGTACATTTTTAATATTAAATGGATAAAACTATACCATATTTTTGGTTAATTAGCATTTTTCACTTTATGGTGATGTTTCCATGATTTGATAGTAAATGAAAAAGTACAAAATGGATTCAACAACAGTATGGAATTGGAAATCAAACATAATTATGGACAAACAGGTGTATATATATATATACATATATATATATATATATATATATATATATAGTGATTTATCTGTACTATAATTCTGAAGTATTTGACCTGAAATGGTTAAAAATTCATATCTATCTCCAATACAAATAAGCAAAGTATTTTATTATTTTTACTTTAAATGTTTAAGAAATTGTCAAAATAGAACCAGGAACACCCCTTTGCCTTTCAAGTTTCAATATAGTGTGTCATGTTAGATATGGAGGGAATGGTTACTTCCACTTAAAATGTTGGAAGATTTTAGTAAGTAAAATAAAGTAAAAGAAATTTTAACATTAACTTGAGTACCAAAGGCCCAAAATGTATGTGTACCATCATCATTCATTTCGGATTTCTCATCTGAAGTGTATCCTTGATCGTTGCAATGTTATCTTCTTTTAGGTGGGTTGTTAAAATTTGGAGGTTGGACGTGGCATTGAAACTTGCATATTCGATAAGCTTCATAAATTTGCCACTTCTAAGGTTCAAAACATTAACTTCAATTCATCATTTCAATTTTGTTTTCGTTTTATTTTTAAACAACATGGTTTTCTTTTCAATATGTCAACACATGTTGGTGGGAAATGCAAGCTTGGTTGCTGCTTGGTGTCACTCACTGCCACTGGAGGTGATGATATTGATAAGAACTCTATTTTTACAGAAACTTCAATTTATTTATAAATTTTGCAAATATCTTTAATTTGTCAGGTTTATATCAATATAACACGTTTGCATAAACATCTTGCTGGTTCCACAAACATCCTTTTGAAATCCAATCCTTTTTTTTCTAATTTCCTATCAATTTTGGTCCCAGTGTCGTCAAAGTTAACATTTAACTGTCAAAATTATATAATGACAACAGGGACCAAATTTGTTATGTACCCTAATATGTGTTATTTGTTTTCTGTAAATTAACCTTTAGAAAATTTTGAATTTTTAGTCATGGATCATGCTCAAATGATTAGTTATGGATTTATATTCTATGGTTCTTATGAATTGTTGTTATGTTAGGGGGATACGTGCTTGTAATGATCTTTCGCAATATTACCGACAAAATATCTAATTTTATAAAAAAATGAAAATTTAGGATTAATGATTTTACACGTTGTTAAGTTTTAATATTGTTTTACTTTCCTTTGCAAAACATAGTATTTATTTTTAAACTTTTTTAGTTTTATTTTTAACACTGATATTTTATTTTCTACCGATTGTGATCGAGTAACAGATAAGAGCTTTGTATAATTAGACCAAATGAATTAAGCAATGTGAAATAAAACAAAATTTTCAAGCCTAATTTCCTACATAAACCAAAACGTCTTATGATAATAGAACATTAGAGTTCTACATTTATATCAAAATCTTACAAATTTGCATTTTGAAAGACCAGATTTCGTAGTCACTTTTTGAAAAGGAGAAGATGTTTAACCTAATGTCAAAGGAGGCGATATAAATCTTGAGGATCATCAAACATGAAAACATTTTTTTTTTGAAGTTACGAACATGTGTATCACACGGTTAACATATCAAACTTTGTAAATAAATTAATGATTTGTAAATTAATGAATAACGATTCTTATTTTTAGTCAATCCATTTTTTTACTTCGTGAACCGTGGTTTCCACGGGTTATAAGCTAGTTTCTTATAATGCATTGTTTACAACTTAATAACGAGGAAGAATACATACACGTCATTTGTGGGTCTCACAATTTCTTTATTTGTTTTCTTCTACAACAATTCAATATTTAACGAATTACAAAAAATGGCCGTTACATATTCTATTCATAACAACTTACATCCCTTTTTCTTTCTTTTGTTTCACTTTTTACCATTGAAATCAAATTACCCTGTCATTTGTAACCTTTTTCTTTTTTCTTTTCGTTTTTTACCCTTATAATCCACATGTTCTTACATGGTTACACCTTCTCACAATAGATACCTTTTTTTTTACTTGCTATTTGCGGCCCTTTAAATTTTTTTTCATTTTTTATCTTAAAAACTACATTTATAAATACACGTTGCAAGATCGGTATATACAATGCTATCGACCTTATATATTTTTCTACCAACAATTACAGCGGTACCCGTCTTTTATCAATACGATTGTTAAATTCAATTAAAAAAGATATTGGACCTGGTGCAACATCTGGTTGGCAAAAAAACTAGATACAAATTGTAATTTACAGTGTCTCTCATAAAATCACTATAGCTACTGCTACTTAAAATGCACAAGGTACCCCTACATTCTTATGGATTATTCAAAAACATCCAACTTATAAAAATAATCCCTAAACTCTTCTCAACTTTTGATAAATCACCTAACTTTCATTTTTTTAAAAGTTTAACTGTTTGTTTCAAACAGTGATATACACAAAAAAAGCACACGTAAGAACCCGCGGCAAAACACGAACTCAAATACTAGTTATTAAACAAATTCTGACAATATCAAACTTAATACCCCCGATATAAACACAACTTATATCTTATATCTTGTCTTTCAAACTAAAAATTAATATATTATAGACTAAACTGTACAAATGGTCCCTGTGGTTTGCTGAAAATTGCCACTTTGGTTCAAAAAGGTTTGGACTAGCACTACAGGTCCAAAGTTTTCATTTTGTTGTGAGTTTGGTCCAATTTACTTTAAACTTTTTTGAAATGACGATTTTACCCATTTTTTTGTTTTTTCAGTTTATTTATTTATTTATATATTTTTATGATTAAAAAAATTAATAAAAAATTACCTCTCTCTCACACACACATAAAACCTGAAATAACTCTAAATTAGTGGAACACCACCATCGATGGCAAAATCATCACCTTCGATCGCATCGATGAAATCTATAGCCCGCCATCATCTCCTATGTTTTCTCCCCCATAAATACCTTCTGCCTCCAGTACTATCTCCCTAAAACCATCCGATTTAAAAAATCAACTCAGGTCGATGGTGATGACTGATGAGGGAGGAGGGAGGAGATGTAGTCGACTGTGAAGATGAAGGTGGTCGGAGAAGATGACCGAACGCCAAAAACCCAAAAGCTGTATACGAAATCAACAATTGCGTTGGTGCTGGATGTTGTCATCGGAGATATATGAAGCCATCACCACCTAACCAAACTCTAGCAAACCTAGATCTGGTGACGAACAAATTTATTGGTGGGGAATATGATGGGTTTTAGGCTGTGACGGAGGGATAAGGGTGGAGAAGATGAAAATGGTGTTTCCGGCTTGTTTTTTCTAGTGCTTCCACCTTGATGACGTGCTCGATTTGAAGTTGATTAGGTTTTCTATTCAGGTTATTGATCTTTCTTACAATCAGATTTCAAGGGGGAAACCAAATGTTGTCCAGTGGATCTTGTCAAATGCTTCGATAATTTTCTGTAAAAAGAAACAAAGTTTCTTGGTGTTTCTTGATCTATCAAATAGGTTTCTTTCATTTTCATGATTTCTCTAGTTTAAAAGGAATCACTTAGCCAACATTTAAACATAATGGATCTGTGATGTTTCTTGATCTATCCCCCACACACAAATCGATTACAGCTGGGTTTTTTAGTTCCAGAAACAATTTTGAAGAACATACGATCTCACATTCTTTTTTGGGTTCTTTTGGTGTTTCAGATTCGATTTTAAGATTTTTCTGTTTGTCTAGTTCCAGAAATGTTTCAGATTTATGAGTGTGTTTGTTTCGTATGTGTTTTTTTTTTTTTTTTGAAGAACTTTAGAAATTATGGTGTGTTTTGGATTGTGTTCTTAGTGGTGTGGAGAGAGAGAGAGAGAGAGAGAGAGAGAGAGAGAGAGAGAGAGAGAGAGAGAGAGAGAGAGAGAGAGAGAGAGAGAGAGAGAGAGAGAATTTTTATTAATTTTAATTATTAAATTTAAATAAACATAAAAAACAAAATAAATAAAAACAAAAAAGAAGGGTAAAATCATCATTTCAAAAAAGTTTAAAGTAAATTGGACCAAACTCGCAACAAAATGAAAACTTTGGACCTGTGGTGCTAGTCCAAACCTTTTTGGACCAAAGTGCCAATTTTCAGCAAACCACATGGACCATTTGTGCAGTTTAGTCTATATTATAAGTATATTTTTTAATTGTTATCAGCAAAAATCATACTATTAATAAGTTGCAACAAACATAAAACGAAAATATTACCGAATTAGTAGGATGGATGAAAGTATTTTGATAGGGACTAAAGTAAAATATTTAGAAACATTAGTGATTAGATTGGGAATACTAATAGTGCAAGGGCCAATTGAGGCCAGGCCTCCCGTTCAAATTTTATATTTCTTTTTTCTTTTTTCTTACAGCCGTCGCTCAACATCCCTACCCACCGCCGCCGCCGCCGATAACCAACACTCCCAATTCCCAAACCTCCTTCGAATCGATCGTCGTTGTTCCATATCCCATAACCATCAAATTGTCATCCGATACGAAAATTTCCAATCAAATCCATCTTTTGTCAAACGGACTTATTTGCAGATTGAATTTGAATCATCAAAGCAAATGGCGTTAACAAACTTGATATTGACGGTGGCAGGAGTCAGTGCTGTGATTTTATTGATGAGGAGCGATGTAAAACAATCTGCTTCTATTTTCAAACGCAACGTTCGGCAAATTCGCCACTGGCTCGAAGAAGAATCCGCTTCTGCAGCTAAGTATGTTCTATTACCACACACACACACACACACACACACACACTTGGTTTCATGCTTGATTATGAACTCCAGTGTAGACTTTTTGCTGTATACTTTATCTACTATGCAACAAGGTTATCATTCAAAGTTCAATTTAGTGTAGAATGAACCTATGATTCTCAATTTAGGGCTCATAAGTCATAATCAAATACATAGGCAATCTTCATAAAAGGATATCGTAGAGGAAATAGTACACAATGAAATAGCAATAATCATTGTCAAATTTTAATGTTTCTGATCGCAGATTCAACTATATTAGACTATGTTTTAGGGCATTTTTCACTACAACTCATGATCAATTGTCATGTCTCTAATAACTTCAGCATTTGTAAATGCATTTAGCACCATTTTTGCACAAGTTTATTGTTATCCTTGAACAATAACACTGTGAGTCTGCCTCCTCATTCTCAGCTATCAAAATAGTATCTTTGCGTAACTCATGAATCATAGCTGAAAAATCACTTTCTCATCAGCAAAATTAACACTTTTAACTTCCAGATTGTGTAATTTGAAACCATTGTTTGCGTTTATATGAAATCAAGGAGGTCAATGATAAACCTTTTTAGTTTTTATCCTAAACTAGTTTGAGTAAACCTTTGAAATCGGTTGCTTCTTTTATTCTTTTTTGGGGACAATTTTTTCTTGTTCACATCTTCCAACTTTGAGAAATTATGCTGAGATTATATAAATGCCTCACATTTGATGATCATACTTGCTAGATTTATACAGTATACAGTTGAGCTAACTTGTGTTAGAGTTTGAAATGCAAACTCAAAAAGAAATGGGCAAAAGTAACCCGACCCGTTTTGGATCATACTAAAAATTACCAATTTTGCATATGTTTTGGTGTTATAGGGAAATGGAGAAGGCAAAACCCAAGGAATTACCTAAGAAAGATACCCCCAAGGGTGATTAGAGATGAATGATATCAAATGATGGTATTGGTATTAAGAAAGTATGACCCACCTAATAAAATTAGAATGATTTTCTTGTATTAAGAAGGTTTTTTAGCTCAATTTGTGGAAGTGAAGCATTTTAATCCCAATTTCATTTCTTGAAGGTTATTATCAATCAATCATTTTTATATTATTTGCCTTCATAAAAACATTTATATATTTTTGCATGTGTTTGTGGCTATATCTATAAAAGAGTGTCCTTTTGCTTGTATTGGAAAAATAGAAAACTCTCAAGAAAAGCCCATAACGGAATGCAATGACATTTTCACAAATATGATCAAAATTTAAGTTGCCATAATCTTAGAGTGGAATAATCTCATTATAATGTTACAATAGTTTTTATGTCCACTAAATCCTAAACCCTAATTTAGATCAAGACAGAGAGTATTATGTTACTGTAATATTGTTGTATTTTCTTTATTTGGGATCTTGTCCCAAGGCAATCTTATTGTATTTCTTTGTCTGGCAAATGATATTATTGTGTTCTATTTGTAAGACACGGGGTATTATCTTAATGTAAGATTAAAGTGAAAAATAATAAAAATAATGATATAAAAGTTACAATTTTTTTTTTAATAAGAAGCTCTATCAAATAAAGGGTATCATCTGGAAGGAGTAACAACTCATAAATCATAAAGGGGCTGCTTCTGGTATGTATTTATGTATTAGGTATGTGTTTTAATAATACTTGGGCTTGTGAGGGGATGGGAAAGGCATGAAGGAATGAACAAATCCTTAGATGAGGAAACCTTCACACTCCAACGAAATTGAGCTCCATCCAAACATATTCCGCCAGAATCCACAAACCAAACTCCCCCTCATAGATCTGTATTCGATTATTGAAATGCAACATTTTCTAAAATGTCTAATATTATTCTATTATGTGAAGCTTAATTTATTCATAGTTTGATATGTTGATTAGATATTTGTTATCTTGGTATGGGAATTTGTGTACATCTTCCTTACATCTGTAGCAAAATTTGACTCTTACACCCACTTGATCCAATTCGAGAAGAAAATCCAATTTTTCACCTTCATGTTTTGATGCACTGATAATTTTTAATCCACTCACATAGTTTCTTTATGGCTATTTGAGTTTCTTTATGGCTATTTGACAAGGTTTGAATTTTTAACATGTTTGGTTCAAACCTTTAAATTGTTGTGTTGAATGATAAAAATGATCATTTTATTATTATGTATCATTTTTTGTTGAATTCAATGTTTTTGTTTTATAAAATAATTGAACTAACTTCTTGAATAATTATAAAAAATATTAAAACCATAAAAATCCAAATCAAACATAATATTTTGAAATCCATGAAAACATACAAAGTACCTTGGTGTGATTAGCAACTCTATTAGAAAAAGAAAAGTGATTAGGGAAATCGATTCGATATTAAATAGAAGCTGAAATTGCAACTAAACTTTTGATGATCGATCTATACTCTTTCTCCATCATTACATCAAAGAGGTCCTTGGATAGTCCCTCCATTTTTATTTCCAACATTTCAACCTGCAAATCCAAATTCAATGTAAAGTTATACAATCATTAATGTAAATTGAAGGAATGATCTTTACATCAATGGCTTGGGTTGACTTTTGCAGTCCAAAAAAGAAGTATTTTCATAGACTTCAAAATTGGATTGATCATGGAAACTTGATTCCTTGTATTCATGGAAACTTCATAGTTGACCATTTCTTCTTCCAATACCAGTTCCATGTCCTTGCATTCACAAAGCTTTTTTATTCCCTGTAAAACAATAATTTTAGGTCAATATTCATTCACCTAAAACCATTCCGGAAAAATATAATTTCATAACATTCCATCAATGTTTTGTCATCTTGTATATAATCTCCTTAATATACTAGAATACAAGTTATAACTTATTGACATGAAAAAACATAAAAAAACATTAAAGAACTTCATAAGATCAAGTAACTCACATGGGAAGCATAATCAATAATCATTATAACAAGAGGAGTCACAACTTAATTGGTTCCATCGACTAAAAACACAACTTTTATGAAAAAGGCAACAACCACAAACCATTAGCAATCCTATATTCATTGCAGGAAAAGAAAAAAAAACTTGATGAATATTTATCGGTTTAAACAAAAACAATCACCCTTTTAGATTGGAATATAATTTTCGACACTCATGAATCACATCATCGCATACAACTAGCAGGAAAAAACGATTTTAGAGGAATTTCGATTTTAATGAAGGTGCTTATCGGAGGGTGCAATCACTTATTGGAAACTATGTCATTTTTTTACATTATTTCAATATGCTTATACTTGAAACTTATGATGATACCATCTTCTGTATTTTTGGCTATGGATTTGGATTTTGATCCATAGACAATTCTATATTTCATATAATCTCTTGTAAATATATAAATATTCATGTATATCTGTGACCATGCCCTGTTTTTAAGAGGCATATTGTCATGGTATCTAATAACATTATAATAGTAATTTAACCTTTTTTTATGGTTATTAGTCAATTTGTCACACCCCCAGCTGATGGCGGAATCGTTGGGCTATGCGACGTTACAATGTTGGATCACAGACATTGAACATTGAACATGTATTAAACAGTACAAAACAATGTGGCATAAATATCACTTCCATTATGTATTAAAATTTACATTGTGGTAAGTATCTCTAATACAAAAGATGCCTTGATAGCTAAGCATAATAATGACAACAGTTTTCAATGGCTTTCTTGATCAGCCGTTGCTTCAGGGCGTGCAAACTGTCATCTCTTGGTTTCCTAGGAATACATGTGGTTTTGAAAGGTCAACCTAATGTTGGCCCAACGGTATCAGGTGTTGCTCTCTCTCCCTCTCTCTCTCTCTTGAGGTTAAGGGTTCAAGTCTCACCTGAGGCATTAGTGGATTTAGGAGTAGTTTAGGATTATATTATATTTGATGCTAAAAAAATGTAATGTTGGTGAGTTTACAAGTTTTTGTATATAGAAAATACATAATAGTTTTGAAACGGTATTTTTGTTTATGAATATAGTGATCCAATTTCCTATATATCCTTATTCATGTGTTTTAGTTGGGTACGAGTAATTAAGCACTCAACTCCTGATTTCTTGTTTTGTAAAGTCTTACTGTATCTTAAAGGTACTTGCATGATGTTAGGATCTGATTGTACCTCCCTAGCATTCCTTTTTATTCTCTGTGTACCTGTGTTGTTATTATCTTGAGGTTTTACGATTTTTATAGTTTTATAAATACTATTGTTTCCCTTGACTCGCTTCCTTGAGTCTGTGTAATGTTACTAATTCTTAGGTTTTACCCTTTATAAGTAGTTATGTGAGATAAGGTTGAACAATGTTACAATGAGTTCCTATAATCAAGCCCATGACATTGAAACTCCTCGAGACGACACTTCATCGGACGTCGCCAAAGTTTAGAAAGTTATGTCTATTATGACTCAACCGTCAAGGTTATAGCTAGCGACCGCAAGTGGGGATGTCAGCCCCGTATAGATTTATACATAACTCTCACACCCACTTAAGATTTAATGATTATAGGTTGGGTTAGGTAAAGGTTATTTAGTTAAAGGATGAACAATGTCTCATTTAACAACTGCTTTCGTGTACCTTGCTTTCTGTTGTTATATTTAGTTGTAATTGATATATATATATATATATATATATATATATATATATATATATATATATACATACACACACACACACATATATATATATATATATATATTAAGTTAGTATGGTTTATTTTGGTATGATATTCAGGCATAGTAACCACTAAGTACAATGTTATCCCAAATGTTGGCCAAAGTAACGACTAGGTATAATGATTTCCTAATGAGTTGGCCAACGTAACGACTAGGTACGATGTTATCTTGAAAAGTTGATTAGAGTAACGACTAGGTATAATGTTTTCCTAGTGAGTTGGACAGCGTAACGACTATGCATAATATTATTTTTAAACGTTTGGCAGGGTATCTACCAGACATAATATCATCATAACATTTTGTAGGCATAATTATATCACTAATATTATACAATTAGCAATAATTATAAAAGTAACAGTGTAGTATTATCAAATGTATCCCCCCCCACATTTGAAAATCGTAAAAGTAAGGTCATGAACTCACCCTTGAAGCGTGATTCGTGTACTCGGTGCTTTGTGTCGGAACTTCAGGGGCTTGGGAATTGCTCATAAGGAAAAAGGTTCCATTTAGAGAGAGAGAGAGAGAGAGATCAGATGAATGGGTGTGAGAATGAAGGAGGTAGAGACCTAAATTTATAGTGAGGGATTTTTTTTTGGGGGGGAGGGGGGGATATCATTGGGACGCACGTCGCGCACATACACTTTGGCACCCCCTAGAGTTTGACACGTGTCATCTTTGATGTGGGCCACGTCAATCAAATTCTTACGAACCTAGTGTTAGTATGCACGTGGCGATCGGACGTGCACGCACACCCTTGTAAATTGTGTATCTTCCGCATAGAGGCTCTACTTTCAATGACCTTTATACCCATGCGAAGGTCTCAACGAGTACTACAACTTTCCTTTAGGTTGTTTTGGCTAATCCTAACGTTTATTTTTAGCCTATGCTTTTATACCCTTAATATTTTACAAAAATCATAACTCTCTCAAACGGGCTCCGTTTTTTGCATTCTTCGTTTCAAAATTCTTATCTTGAGGAGTACTACGATATTCCTTTTGGTGACTTTGGTTGTAACGCCCCGTTCCTGGTATGCATTTAATCTATTAAAATATTCATTTTGTAAGAGCTACTCGACGAGTTGGTAGCCCTAACTCGTCGAGTAGATGCCAGCTTGGTCGCGGGATTTAAACGGTCTACTCGACGAGTCGAAGCCTGGACTCGACGAGTAGGTCCATCAAGAGGAAACCCTAATCTTCAGGGTTTTCACCCTATTTAAACATCATATCTGGCTCCACCTCAACCTCTATCACCTCCAAACCCTAATCTCAAAACCCTAATCCACTTTGAGTGATTTTGAGCTATTTCTTGCCATTTTGAGTGTTATTGTGCCTTTTGAAGCTTGTGGAAGAAGAAGAAGATAGAAGGCTCAAAGGGGAAGAATTAAATCCAGGAGC